TGTTGTGCTCTTTGGAACCCGCGTGCAGTGGGCGCGCGATCACCCAACGACCCGTATTGAGGCGGATCGTCTGCCCGCCACTCCCCGACCGGCACGCAACGAAGGAGGCGTCGACGACCAGGTCGACGGTGGTAACCAAGTCGGCAGCGAATGCAGCACGAGGCTTCGTGGAGTGATTCGACGTCGGCGGACTTCAGGCGCGATTTTAGCGTTCGGCGGCAACGGGAAGTTCGAACGGCAACATCGATGGTCGACGCCTTTCTCCCCAGCGAAGTGGAGTCAGGCCGACTTCGGCGACTCATGCGTCGGCTGGTCGAGACGGAGGCATCGCGCCTGCGTACGGCTACTTCAAATTTTCGCCGGACAATATCGCGGTGCCGAAGCCGCTCGAAGGTCGACACGATTTGATAACATGGATTGAATCCATCGAGCCTCAGCTAGAGATCGCGGCATTGAAGAAGTTCGTTGACGGCAAGGTGGACATGCCGGACGAAGAGGACTCTGAATTGTTGGCGGAATTTCGCTCTACTCACCTTCTGACCTTCATGGTTATTTCGAGGTGTTGTTCGCCGCTGGTGCAGGTCGCGCTGAAGCCGTGCCGACTTCGAGTGGACGCCGGCTACCAAGCGTGGCAGTACATCATGCGCACCTACAGAGCGACCGACGACCTCTACATCAGCCAACTGGCCAACATTCGCATGGGCGAGCAGGAATCGGCGACCGAGTACTGCAATCGAGCGCGGCGAATTTTGGCCGAGGATGGCTGGTTTCGAGTACTCGGTGGCATCGTATGTCACGCATGTCATCAATGGCCTCCCCTTGAGCTACAATCTGATGCGACAGATGCTGATAATGCCCGGCACGCGCGAGACTCTGAATGAGGATTCGCTTTCGAGTCACATCATCCAGGACGAGTTTATGTAGGAGTCTGAGCGGTCTTCAGAGCTCCTTCCGCAGGCTAACTACGTCGCTCCAACAAAGTAGGGTCGTCAGACAGGGCAGCATGGGAAGTCGGGCGGAGGTGGAGGAGGTGGCGGAAAGTCGTCGAACACCAAGTCTACAGAGGGCGCCGACCGCGGGAAGTCGGCGAAGGGCAATGATCGCGGAAGCAGTGGTTCGCGTCGAGGAGGACGCCGCTGCTACATTTGCGGAGACCCTGACCATCTCTCGTATGACTGCCCTGACTGCGACGAGTCCGACGACGATCAGAGAGGAAGCTATGGAAAGTCGGAAAACGCTCGTCGATCAGAGGACGGAAGTCTGAAAACGATCGTCAGCGTCGAGACAACACGTTGCGGAAGGAGAAGCCTGCGTCGTCGAAAACGCCGTCGACATCAGAGGCTGGTACCTCGAGCGGAAAGGAAGCTTCTTGTTCGATGGTTGGCGTGGTCGAGCCAACAATTTTGCTGGCGCCGGAGGCTGGCGAAGACTTCCAGGCGGTCACAGCAGCCGTCCAGGCGAATCCGACTGTGGTTCTCCTCGACAGTGGCTGCTCCCATCATCTGATGGGAACACGAGAGGCCTTCGTCGAAATGAAGCCAAGAGGAGAAATCCGTCACGTGCGCGGATTCAACGGGGCGCTTCAGAACGTCGAAGGCCGTGGCACAGTTGCTCTGAAAGGGGAGACTGGGAAGCAGATTCTCATCCCCGATGTGTTGTACGTTCCGGGCGTACACGTGAACCTACTGACTTCTGGCCAGCTGGAGGAAAACGGCGTGAAGCTGAAGAACGAGGGTGACGAGATGCTGCTCGTTTCCGCTGCAGGAGATGTGCTCGGTTGAGCACGCTACACCGGCCGAGTCCTCTGCACCGACCTCCGCCCCTGCTCCTCGAAAACGACTACATCTGCGACAGAAGCAGTCGCTCTGCGGACGATCACCTCGGCGACGAAGTCAAAGCCGGCTAAGTGGCACGCGAGGCTCGCGCACGTCGGCATCGACACGATTATGAGCTCGGCGAAGCATGAAGTTGCCATCGGTCTGGACATTGCGAAGTCAACTGGAGCCGACTTGCCGTGTACCTCTTGTGTCGGCGGTAAGCTGGCGCGTCATACATTTCCAGAGATGGGATCAGAGGCTGCAAACGCCCTCGACGTCATGCACATTGACCTCTGTGGCCCCTTCCGTGTGGCCGCCGCTGATGGGAGCCTCTACTTCCTCCTCCTCAAAGACCGCAAGACCCGCTTTGTGTGGGTTCGTTCGATCGCGAAGAAGAGCGACGTGCTGGTCGTTTTCGAGAAGTGGCTGAAGGAAGTGGAGCGGCAGACTTCGACGACGGTGAAAAGGTTGCGCTCAGATCGCGGAGGCGAATTTCTTGGTAGGAAATTCACCGAACTTGTCGAGGACAAGGGTATCCTCCACAACCTCACTTGCCCCTACACTCCGCAGCAGAATGGCATGGCGGAGTGGGAGATGCGCACGGTCGTCGAATCTGTGCGGACGATGCTGCTTCACATGGGAGTGAAGAATCACTGGTGGCACCTCGCTCTTCGTCACGCCGTCTGGGTGCGCAACTGCCTCGAACGGGCCTCCCTTCCTCCGAGAACGACGCCGTATGAGCTGCTGTTCGCGCAGAAGCCGGACCTTACGCTGGCGCGCGTGTGGGGCTGCATGGTGCAGTTCATGGTCCCGGAGCAGCCGGGGGAAGGGTTACAGGCACGTTGGCCTGGGGGGTTATGTGCGCACTGACCCGCTACTTAAACAAGCCCTTTTATCCCAATGGTCTAGTGGTTGGGAATCTCACAGGTACCCCTTGGCTACAAGCCTAGACTTGTAGCGCTCGATCTTGCCGTCGGCATCCGACTTGAATTTGAAGAGCCACTTGGACGTTATCGCCGTACGCCCCTCCGGTAGCTCCACCAATTCAAACGTGTCATTCTCCTTGATGCTCTTCAGCTCACTCTCCATGGCCTTCTTCCACTCCTCAGCATCACTACTCTCCAAAGCCTCCTTGAGAGTTGCTGGTTCTCCCGGCATCTCCACCGGAGAGAAGAACGCGAGGGCACACTCCTCGTAGTCACTCTCCTCGTCGTCTCCGACCATCATTGCCGCTCCGGCCAGGGCTGTCTTGCCCTGCTTTCCCGGTGCATCATAGGTCAGCCTATTAGGGGGTTGAACTCTCCTCTTCCCCCTTCCTTCCTCCTCAGCTGCAGGGACTTGAAGGCCTTGGCGTTGCTGCGGTGTGGCTCGAATCCGTGGAGCACTCGTAGTACGGGAAGGGAGTGACGGTGCACGCTCGCTCACTTGCTGCACCTCCTCCTCTTCTTCCTCTGCATCATTGGCCTCCTCTCCCCCATTCACAAGGGAGGATTGCCTTGTGGTTGTGCTGCCGCTGCTCAGCTCCAAAGGCAGCTCCACATGCTCCAAGCCGGAACTCTTCACCTCCCCAAACCGCACGCCTATCTTCGCCTCATTCTCCGCCTTCCAATCCTTGTACATGAAGTTCTCCATGAACTTGCAGTCCCTGCTCACCAAGAACTTCTTGGTGAATGGGTCCCAAAGAAGCCATCCCTTGCTGTTTTGAGCCATGCCCAAGTGCACGGCCCACACCGCCTTGGCACCAAGCTTGTTGTGCCGAAGATGCTTAGGCACGAGCGCCATGCACATGCACCCGAACACCCGAAGCATATCCACCTTTGGCTTCCTTCCTAGCCACTCCACATAGGGCACCCATTTGTCTGCTCCCACATGAGTCAAGGCTCTGTTCTTGGCCACACACGCGCTCCGCACCGCATCAGGCCAGAAATAGTCGGGTAGCCCGGCTTCAATGAGCAACCCGCGTGCCGCCTCCGTGATTGTGCGGTTCGCTCGCTCGGCGATGCCGTTCATTGCAGGGGAGTATGGCATGGTGAGGGAGTGCCGAATACCATTCTTCTTCAGCCACAACCCGAAATCCTTGCTCAGGAACTCTCCCCCTCGATCGGTGCGGATTGACTTGACTAGACGGTCTTGTTGCCGCTCCACCATCGGGAACCAATCCGTCTTCAACGTTTCAGCCACGTCGCTCTTCTTGGCCAGCACATACACCCAAGTGATGCGGGTGTAGACGTCGACAATGGTGAGAAAATACTCAGCTCCAGCAGCTCCAAGCTTCAGGGGGCCCACCACGTCCATCACCACCTCATCAAGCGGTGCCTTTGCCGTTGCCTCCGAACTAGGGAACGGAAACCGGGTGAACTTGGCTTGAATGCACGTCGGGCAGCCAAGCACCTCATCGGGCTCCCCCTTCACACGTATGCCAGCAACCATCTCATTCTTCACTAGCTGCTGCAAGATGGGCAGGGCCACATGCCCCATGCGCCGATGCAAGGTGAGCCAATCACACTCCCCCGTAGCCGAAGTTGGATTGGAGAATGCCGCGCTCGCAATAGCGCCCCACATACTCTCTCCGTAGTCCTCCTCCGCTGCTGCCTCGGGGTTCTCCTCACCCTTTTTCTGCTCCTTGGTTGCTGCACCACTCTCCTTAGGTTCACTGAACTTGCTGGTCCCTCCAGGTTTGCTCTTCTTGAGCTCATTCTCCTTAGCGCGACCGTTCGCGCCATCGTCGCTACCGACCGCTCCATCCTTTGTGCTGATGCTTGCTGCCACTTGCCTCTCCTTAGGCATTGGGACCACTGGGATCTGCCACATCTCGTTGTAGACATCCCTGTCCTCATGAAGGTCCCAAAGAATTCGATCGCCAAGCCTTGCGGTGTAGGTCTTGGCTCCCTTCGAGTTCGTGTCCATGCCGGCCTTTGCCAACCGCCGCACGGAAATCAGGTTTGCAGCAAGGCTGGGCACCCAAAGCACGTTCTTGAGGCCCACCATCTTCCCATCAGCACCCTTGAACATGGCCTTGCCCTTGCCTTTCACCTCTGCTCGCTGCCCCAAAGCCGATGTGACATGCTTCACCGGTGACGGCTCGAGTTCGGTGAGCAAGTCCGGGCGAGGTGTCATGCTATAGGTAGCGCCACTATCAATCACCCAATAGTCCAGGGTAGAGTGGACATTGGCGGGCAGATGATGATCGACGGGCAGCCATATCTACCTTTCAAGGGCACCCGCTGTGCAAACAATCTGGACACTTCGGGTGTGGTGAAGCCGCAGGTGCAGGTGTCGTGGCAGCTTGGCACCGATGCAAGCAAGGCTGCTTGCCGCGCATTCGACTTCTTCCAGGATTTCAACTGCAACGGAAAGCTGCTGGGCAGTTTCCCGGACGGCAAGTCGCGGTGCGCTTTCCATTCTTGCTCGCCCTGCTTGCTCCTATGCTCTCTTCTGCTCTTTAAACGCCGCTCGTTTGTTCCCCCACCTGACCAACGACCTGTGCGCTCGTGTCGTGCCCCCTCACCCCTCCTTTGTGCGCAGCACCATGACTCTCCCCGGTACAGTGAAATCCGCCCGCTGCATCATTGGTGCGTCCCCTCTTGCCTTGCCCCGCCCGCCTCTCCTCCTTTCCTCTCCTCCTTTCCCCTCCTCCTTTCCTCTCCTCCTTTCCTCTCCTCCTTTCCCCTCCTCTTTTCCTCTCCTCTTTCCCCTCCTCCTTTCCTCTCCTCCTTTCCTCTCTGCGCAAAGTCGTTCTCTCTCTCTCCCGCTCTCTCGCTACACTCTCGCCTGCACAGCTTAGTTTGTTGCGCTGCACTCTGGTGTCGTGCCCCATCTCTGCCTTCCCTTCCTCCCTCCCTCCGTTCGCGCTGTGCTGTGCTGTGCTGTGCCGCAGACGACCTGTGCCCGTATGTGAGCTGCCCATTCTGGTCCAATTGCGTCAGAACCACCGACGACAGCGCGTATGCAAGGTGCAAGTGCATCTATGGCTACGTCGCTCGCAACGGGCAATGCCAGCGCCAGGTGAGCTTCGTGTCCTGTTTGCTCACCAAGGTCTCGTCTCGTCGCTGCAACCTTCTCCTCCTCCGCGCTCCCTCTCTTGCCCTCTCTCTGAATGCTGGCTTGCCTGGATGCACACACAAGCTCTCCGGCCCTCTCTCTCTCTCTCTCTCTCTCTCTCTCTCTCTCTCTCTCTCTCTCTCTCTCTCTCTCTCTCTCTCAAGCGGTCCATGTATTAACAATCCGGGAGGTACAGAGATGCAAGGGTGACCAGGGCACAAGGATGACACAGCGCGGATACTAACCTGCCCCTATGACCCCCCCCCCCCTCCCCCCCATTCTACTGCTCCTCCTAAGGGAGCTCCAGTGCTGGCTCCAGGGTTGCAAAGCAATCCCCGAGGGACAAGCCCTCCCCTGGCATCCCGACAGGTGGGTTCTCCACCTGTGCCGCAAAATTACACTTCGTCATGAAGCTCACCTACTGAGCACGCTGCAGCGCTACGGACCAACACTGACGGAACTGATGCAGCAGCTTCGTCGCCTGGTAAGAGGTAGGAGCGGCGTTGAAGTGCCTACGGGCAGCAGTGTCAGCCAGGAGTTTGAGGAATGCGGGGACCTCCGCGCACGGGCATCCGTACGTCTCAACAGCCAGGGGGAAGAATCCGACCCATGAGGCCGTGGAGCCCTCGTAGTCGGATATCTTCTTGTCTGCGGCTTCCCGTGCCGCCCAGCCCCTCCCCTTGACCGCGTTGGGGTCACGAGTACTAATGGGGTCCGTGATTGTCACGTCCCCAATCCAAACTGCCCCAGAGGAGCGGTCAAGAATGGCAATGTCTGCCTTCTTTCTGGTGACCGGGCAGAACGCGGTCGTTTCGCTATGGGTCATGAAGCCAGCGTCTTCCGCCATGTGCACGCACTCGTCCCGAAGTTCATTGTGAGTAATAGTTCCCCCCCCCCCCCCCCCCCCCCCCCCCCTGTGTCGCAGCGGAGCAGGTGGTTGGGCAGCCTCCTATCTGCGATTGCCATCTCCTTGCGGCAATCGCAGGCACCAGGGGCAGAGGAGGGCAGACCCATCCGAAACTGCAGCGCATGGGCGACGTGGGCTGGGGCAAGGCGGAGTGATGGGTTGAAGGGGACCGCGTGCAGCCAGTCCCCTGCCCCGTAGCCAGATAAGGAGAGCATCCGCTGGGTGTGGCCGCAGAGGGGATTGGGCTGCATCGTGCGCGTGTCCCGAACCTGCTCGGCGTACCGTAACCCCTGAACCGATATGGTGAGCCCGTGCTGCAGGTTGATGCCTTTGGGTTCCGCCCGCTCGCTTTGTAACAGCTCCTTCCCCTCCTCTGGCAGCGCCTCCTCACACCTCTCTAGCCAATCAAAGAGGGGTGCTGTGTTTTGGAAGGGCCCTGCCATCTGAGCCCGTGTCTCGGCCAGGGCTCCAACTGTGAAATTGGTAGGTAGAGTTAGGAGCCATAGCTAGGTAAGTCCTAGCTAGGCAAGAGAAGTTTAGGCAAAAGAGGAGGAGTTCACTAGCAGCAATGAGGATACATATAGCAAACCCTAGATGGGTTGTACTCGCTATAGAGCACCCCACTACAGGCTAGAGAATAACATTCTGACACACCCCCATAGCCAAAGTGGGGTGTAATCAGTACAATGAGCAAGCAGGTATAGAGCAGGAGTTCACAAAGGTAAGCAAAGCTAGAGCTAATCACAGCGGGCAAGTGAGGAGGAGGAGGAGCTGTGGAGGTAGAGAAGATGGGAGGCAACGACTGAAGCTGCAGAGGCACGGGCACAGGAGCGGCTGACTCAGAGGCTACCGAAGCAAGGGCGACGGACTACTGGAGTAACTGGCTCGGCGGCTATAGAAGAGCGGCAGGAGCAACGGACCCACTGGCGACTGGTGCAGCAGGCTCACTGGCTACCGAAGCAAGGGCGACGGACTACAGGCGCTGCAGGCGACACGACAGGTACCTCCACACAACCTCCTCCAACTGCCCCACACCCTCGACACACACCCACTGCTCAAACCCTAGCTCCACTCCCACGCACCCCCCTAAAACCCTAAACCCTAGGCTCCCACACACCCACCCCCCTCAGCGGCAGCTGCAGCAGTGGGAGACCAGGGAGGAGGAGGAGCAAGGGGAGTAACACACAACCGCCACCCCCACACTCCTCACCCCCAACCCCTAATTCAGGAGAACGGGCAGCAGTAGGGGTGGGGCACCGTCAGAAGCACGGGGGACAGCGAGCAGCTCAGGGACAGAGAGGAACGGGCCGCCCACGGGCCTGGCACAGCCCGACGAACCGCGCGCAGGCGGCCCGAGCCGCGCGCGGGCCTGGCGCAGCCCGTACGGGCCGCGCGCGGGCCTGGCGCAGCCCGTACGGGCCGCGCGCGGGCCTGGCGCAGCCCGCGCTGGCCAGGACGGGCGACGGGGGACGACGGGCTGGTCCCCGTCGCCCGTCGAAGCGCCACCCGGGGGCGACGCGTGGACCGACGGGGCAGAAGGCCGCCGCGCGCCTCGGGGCGCACGGCGGGCAGAGAACCGCCGCACGCCCCGGGGCGCACGGCGGGCAGAAAACCGCCGCGCGCCTCGGGGCGCACGGCGGGCAGAAAACCGCCGCACGCTCCGAGCGCGCGGCGGGATGAAAAATCCGTCGCACGCCACGGGGCGTGCGACACAGAGAGTGGCAGTAGCAGCGGAAGCAGTGAGGTGGTGAGCCCACCCACAGGATCGACCCAAGGGGATCGACCTGCTCTGATAGCATGTGAAATTGGTAGGTAGAGTTAGGAGCCATAGCTAGGTAAGTCCTAGCTAGGCAAGAGAAGTTTAGGCAAAAGAGGAGGAGTTCACTAGCAGCAATGAGGATACAAATAGCAAACCCTAGATGGGTTGTACTCGCTATAGAGCACCCCACTACAGGCTAGAGAATAACATTCTGACACCAACTGATGCCTCGTCGAGGGAGGTGAGTAGGTGGTTGGCCTGTGTGTAACTTGCGATGAATCCGACACGCCCCTCCACCGACGGGTCCGCCTCTCTCTCTCTCTCTCTCTCTCTCTCTCTCTCTCTCTCTCTCTCTCTCTCTCTCTCTCTCTCTCTCTCTCTCTCTCTCTCTCCTTGCATGTGCTGCAATGATCACATGACCTACCATCACGGCACCTTTCAGGGAGGACAGCTCCGAAGGTCACCTTGAAAGCCAACGGTTGGCACAGACGATAGGACTTTGAGCATGTGTGCTTGGCAAGACGGTTAGTTGGTGCGCGCTTGTCAAGGAAGGTTGTGGAGCAAGTGCCAAGTGTTCAAGAAGGATTGACGTATCCAACCAACCTGAATACCGTAATACCCCGGATATAAGCGCACCTGCGCTTATAATAAAACAGTGTTTTTTGGGGGGGTGCGCTTATAATTGAGTCAGATTTATAAGCGCATGCGCTTATATAATAACAAATGCAAATTTATAATTCATTGGCACCAAACTGTACATCTCCTTCTTGTGATTTCAATCGAATCGAAGTGGTAGCGAGTCGCAATTCAGATTCGCGCGTGAGCGATTTTCTGCCGGCGCACAGGGGAAAATTTACACGTCACTATCAGAAATGCCAGCTCATACTGACTGGACGCGCAGTATGTGAGGTCCTCGAAAGTCAATCGAAGCGAAAATAGTTGTATCCTCACTGCAAAATTTGAAATCGCTACCGTTTTAATCTGGTTTAAATTTTAGAATTATACGTGCGCTTATAATAAATCAAGGTTTTACAGGGGGTGCGCTTATAAATGAGGATCGGCCATAAGCGCATTGCTCCAGATACAAGCGCATGCGCTTATAATAGGCCTGCGCTTATATCCGGGGCCATACGGTAGCTACATGTACCGGCTGGGCAGCTTATCATCAACTTAGTATCAGACCTTCCAGGGTATATTAGATTTCCCCTAGCGCCCTTCTCCAATCCCCACTGCCCCCTTCCATTCCCTTCCTCCCCCCCACCTCTCTCTATCCACCCCTGCCCCCCGCTCTCTTTGTTTGTTGTACCTTGTATGGTACTGTATGTTATGATACAGTTTGATGTTGGAAGAAAAGTTATTGAGAAAGCTACTTGACTAGCAGTAGGAAGTAGAGCATGGATGAGAGCAGCCTCTAAAACGTACCGTACTGATATATTTTGATTTCAGAAAGGGTGTCTGGTTTTGGCCATGAAATTTTAAGACAATGCTATTTCTTGCCCCATAAACACACAGGGTGATTGTAGGCGTGTGTTGCCCCGTAACCACTCTGCTTTGCACTCAATATTTTGTTATTAAACTTTAAGACCTCAGATGTAAAACTGTTTTACGTACCGTACAAGTACATCCAAGATTGTCGTAGGGGAAAATATGTCAATGGTGACTTATATGGGGCCTTATAACGCGTACGATAACTTGTTCCGCGCGTTTGGTAACTCGTTTCACGCATTTGGTAACTCGTTTCACTCGTTTGGTAACTATACACTGCCAAGCGATCATGCGAATGGTAACTAGAAGAAACCCTCACCCAAAATAACACTGAATGTGGCTTTTCCCGCTCGCGCCAAACTAAATCGACGAATCATGAAATACCACTTTCTGACACACTTTCTGAAATATGGGAAATTAACTTACGAGTTGCTAAGCCGAAGATATTTTAACACATTGTAATGATTTTTTTCAGCGCTTGTTTTGAACATTGATTTTATCCAATTCTATCTTACAGCGGGGGCAAAAAATACACCTTTCGAATTTTAAGCGATTCTGAGAGCATGAACCCTAAACACCTTGCGACCAGGCGTTTAGGGCGTTCAAAATATGGGTTAAGTTTATTTTCAGTTTATTTTTGTTTTTTTTTTTTTCCACCGGTTTTAGCCTTGTCGCGAGGTTGTTTTTTTGCAAAATCGCATGCCATCCGAAAGGGTTCTAAAATTTTGGCACAAAGACACAACCGAAATATACAAACATGAGGTTCAGAACGTGCGGTTCGGAATGTCTCAATTGAATTAAACGGGTACAAACAAAATGTACATACGTGCTAATTATCTTGACTCGGAAAATGTGTGTGGCACACCCAAATTTCCGTTTATTTCACCGAGCGCGTTTCGGTCGGAGGTGGTTGTCGTATTTGCCACGTGCTTTTAACGTCTGAGTGCCCTGCTTGTTGCCGTCCCTTGCTCTCAAAATGTGGCTATAATCTTGCTTTTGGAACTGTAGTGTAGACCGGCCTGACCTAATCAAACCTACATCATTTGGCCTCGTCGTTAGCGCTAATGCGTGTAACTATAGCGTTGTGCAACAAATCTTCTTCAACGTTTAGCAATTCAATGCTGAACTGACCACCAGGCCCTCAGATTGCAGGAATTTTACCCTGATTTGGGCTTTGAACACTGATTTTCAGGGTGTTTTTTGGACCCAGCACTGATGAGAAAGTTTTTTTTTTAATGCCTATCCTGATTTTCAAGCGTGTTTTTTCGTACCAGGTCTGATTTTCCAGCGTGTTTTTGCTTGGGGACCCTGAATCGATTCATACAGTAGAGGGTACAGGTGTAGTTGCGAAAATGCCTAGATTCAGTTGATCCGGAAAAAAAAAATTCCCGCCATTCCGCCGTCACCGTCAATAACGGGAAATTGCATCTTTACTGTATCCACACACGTACCACTCTTGATGTGTTGTCGCCATCATCTCTCAGGCTTGCATGTGGTTGGGCAGTTTCAGGTAATTACACACCGTGCCCAATCAGTGCTGGCAAGATTCCACTGCGTCACGGTCGAAACTCGTGACGCTGTGGAATCGTGCTGGAAACGGGGCACATACATCCCATTTCGTGGATGGCCCATAGGGGACCATCCACGCCTGCATGGAGGCTTTTGTTTGAGGGTGTCAACCAATCACCAACGAGGTGTGGTGACCCTCCCTTCCCCATCCCTTTCACCCCATTCTTGAGCGCCGTGTTAGATTAGGTGAGCTTCGATCTCCCTGCTGTTTCTCGGCTGACTCTCCACTCCTCCCTCCATCTCTCGTCCATACTCCCGCCATGGCTGGACCCGTTGATGGTTCTCCTGCCGATGACGATGCTGACGACATAGAGGTCGAGATAGCACGCACGGGCCTAGACCTGTTGCTGTGTTCCCTCTCTAAACCAACCATCCCACCTTGTAGCAAGAATCCGCCCGTCACTTCAGTTACGGCTGTTCCCACCGTCACTTCCGCCCCACCTGACTCAATCGTCGCCCCAGTTATTAACACCACCATGCCAACCAATGTCACAGACCCAGTACCCACTACGGTACCCGCATCCGAGCCGTCAACACCAGCAGCACCGTCCCCGGCTTCTCCTATGGGTACATCTCCATCGCTTCCACCAGGTTTTGAGATGGCGTCCCCGTCATCTCGGCCCGTTCCACCTGCATCGCAACCAGCTGCTCCCGAAGCGGCGTCCCCTGCAGGTCGGCCCGTTCCACCTGCATCTCACCCTCACGCAGCTGCATCGGCGTCCCCGGCTGCTCGGCTTGTCCAGACGAAGTTGAACTTCCTTCGCCCCTCATCTGCGCCACCGACAGCACCCACCAACGTGCCCACTCCGCCCGTACTCGAAGCTGCAGCCTCGAACCAGCCGTCAGTTCCTCCCGAGGAGCAGTATGCCATTGCTCTTGAAAGGTTCAAAACGCGTTGGCAAGGTCAATTTGCCTGGTTGCAGCTTGTCAAAACTTCTACTGGTCACCCTGCCTTCAAGTGTTCTTTGTGTACAGAACATTCAAGATTGACTGGCAAGACCGGCAAGTGCACCGAAGGGGCAGTCGACGTTCAAAAGCAGGCATTCACGCGTCACGCAGCCACGAACAAGCACAAGCTCGCGAAACAACAGCAGGATCAGCTCGTTTACATTGGCACACGACAGCGAGAAGGTCCGAGTGGTGAATCTGATGAATGCCCTACTCTTTGTCAGCACGCAAGATGCACCAATGGATCTGTGGGTGGGATTGGTCCGTTACATGGCTGAGAAGGGAGTCCCCGGATTCCCAAAGAAGGGATACGGGACGTACTACACAACGTAAGTCCGTTTCCTTTTTTAGATTGCACCGTATTTTCTTTTGATGGCCCATGCTAACCCACCTGATCTTGTTTGCCTGTCAGGTATGGATTCGGGGAGCTGACTCATTCTATGGCAACGTGGCTGCAGACTACACAGCTCGAGGAGATCCTGGCAAGTCCCTACATCGGCATCTCATGCGATGAGAGCACCGATCGATGCAGAGGCAAACACCTCATCTTGTTTGTCACGTTCATTCGCAACTCACGCCTCGCCTGCGAGTTCATGGCTCTGCTGACGGTTGACAAGGCGGATGCGGCTTCGCTATTGCAGTTGTTGCTGTCCCACCTGCAGGCGTGCGGTGTTGACCTGAGACACATCGTGGGCATCAGCACGGACGGGGCGTTCGTGATGATGGGAGCACGGTCGGGCTTGGTTGCAAGGCTTCGGCTACGCATACCGCACCTCGTCTCTTGTCATTGTATTGCACACCGGTAAGTTAATATCCTGCTCCAGGGTTTTGACTGATCTGTTCGGTGATATTGTTCTAATACACTGTCCCTGTGTGTTTGCCGCAGGGAAGCTCTTGCCGCTAAGGATGCTGCCGAGAGCTTGCCTGTCTTCAACATGATCGACAACACGGTCCGTGCCATCGTCGAGCATCTGGGCCGGTCGGGTCCATGGCATCAGCGCTTCAAGGACCTCCAAGAGGTTTTTATCGAGACCTTTCTGGAGCTGCAAGGGATTTACACCGTACGGTGGCTATCACGTGGTGATGCCATCGCCAGGTTTGTGGCGGTCCTGCCGGTAGTCATCACGATGGTGAAGGAGTGGAATGACAAGCTGTACAAGGTGGTGACGTCGTTCCGGTTCCACTTTCTCCTGTTCTTCCTTGCCGACGTGCTTGACCAGATGAACGTCCTGAGTAGGACGTTCCAGCGACGAGAGGTGCGTCCACGTAGGCTAGACTTGCATGGCCATTGTCTATGCGTTCTGTCTGTATTTTAACTGGTGTTTCTTATAAAATATGGCGCCTAATTTCTGCCACCTTGCTTCCATTCCTTCCCCCACAGCTTGATCTCTCAGCTGTGCACACGCAGATCCGCCGTACAACTGGACATCTGGAGGCCCGTTACGTCGACTGCGGGGACGAGTTTGGCGGAGGGCTCAGTCCAAGGCTCTCGCCATGGCTTGAGAAGCACGGCCCCGAAGACAAGCGGGAAGTCTGCATCGAGGGCAGCGACTCGGACAGGCAGGCATGCACCTTCACGTTCATACTGCATGAGGATAAACTTGACGACTACCCCGGACCTGGGCACCAAGACGCATGCATCGACATCTGCACCGAGTTCGCTGAGCTCATCGTGGCCAACCTCCTGGATCGGTTGGGCAACCTCGACAAGCTCTCGGGCGTGGGCTTGTTCACCCCCGACAATTGGCCGCACGGCAGGCACGAGCGCCAAGCGAAGTGTCAGGAGCATCTTGAGGCGCTGATCACTCTCTTCCGGGCGGAAGAGTGCGAGGAGATCATACCTGGTGAGCCCGATGCCTTATGTGTGCATGCTGTGCCTCTCCATCCTTGTGTCATGTCGGATTTCTTATCAACCACTATGTTTCCATATCCATGCTTGGTTTTCTAACTGCAGGTGTCGACAAGAAGAAAGCAGTCAAGGAAGTGCGACTGCTAATCCCCGTCCTTTCACGTGCACCGAAGGGTGAGCGAGGATTCCACACTGGTCTTACCGCCATGCTCAAGACCGACGACTGGCAGCAGCACTACCCGAACCTGGTGCGGCTGTGGGTGGCGGTGTCGGTCCTACCGTTGAGCACAGTCGAATGCGAGCGCGGCTTCTCGCGGCAGAACGTCATTAAGTCCTGGCAGCGAGGCAGCCTCAAAGATGCTCGGCTTAGTGACTTGATGTGCATGTCCCTGCTCCGTTACAAGCCCAACTGGGACGAAATAGTCGAGATCTGGCGTAACTACAAGAAGCGGAAGCCGCTCAACACCTGCAACTTCTCCAGGCAGGAGGCAGATAGGAGGCGTCGGGGGAAGGAGGAGGCAGAGGCAGGAGACCAGGCCAACCCTGTAGACCTAGATGAAGAGGAGGATGCAGCAGGTGCAACTGACGGTGGTGATGATGAGGATGCGATGTGGTATTAGTACTAGTAGTGGTTGTATGCGATTGTTAGTTAGTTAGTGGTATTCGCTTGCTGAACTATAATGAATCAATCAGCGTGGCAATTGTTGTCGACTCTGATAAGAAAGTTTTTTCCCAGAGAGCACCCTGATTTTTCAGGGTGTTTTCACATGGCGACCCTGACAGAAAGTTTTTTTTTTTTACTAACACTGACCAGAAAGTGTTGACAAAAACCAATCTGAGGCCCTGCTGACCACGCGTGTGATTCGATTCTATGTGACGTAAACGCATCGGTCCCAACCTTCCATGTGAACGTACCGAGCAGGTGGCATAATCGCGGGTGCAGCAAACGAATAAGAGGGTGTAGGCAGAACCCGATGCATCAGGATTCGTCAAAAAAGTTTCGCGCGAGCGCAAAAAATTCGAGTCAAGGTCATTTCGGGCGATTGTTTCTTCTAGTTACCATTCGCGTGATCTGTAAGGAATTACAATTCCTTACTGTACTCGCACTTTAGCGAGTACATCCCGAGGGTGTCGCGACGAACCTGCCTTGCCTATTTCGTCGCACCAAACCACCCCCGAGTCGGCCTCCGCTCCAATCGCAACCATCACCGAGCCATCCCATCCCGAACCCTCCGCCTAGCTAGGTTTTCCCCTATTTAGGCCTCGCTACTTCATTGTTCAGTCATTCTGTAATCAGTTCATTCTCGATATTCGTTTTACTGCGCACTCTGCAAGTTCATTCATAACATGATCGCTTTGCAGTGTATAGTTACCAAACGCGTTAAAACTCATTGTAATGGTTACCGTACGCGTTATAGAGCCCCATGTAAGTTACCATTGACATAATTTCCCTTGTTGTAGGCCTTCATTACCATAAATCCCTGTAGGCCCTTAAAAGTACACACTCTTGACGAAGCCGTTTTGCCTTCCCGACGCGTCGCGATGCTCGAAGCGCCCGCAGGAACGGCCAGCGCGATTCCGGTGGTGGACTTGTCGGCAGGAGAGGCGGCGTGCGCCGCCGCCGTGGATAAGGTGGGGGGAACCGTTGGCGGCGTGCGGAAGCAAGGTGCGCAGCTGGGGGACGCGGATTGGCGCGGGTGGGGGACAAGAAGATGCGGGGAGAAGTTGCGCGGGGCATATCCCGCTGATACCGTACGGACATCGCGCTGAGAGCCGTGTCGCAGCCGCGCAGCGCGGCGGGCTGTGATTGTGGCCTTTAGATGCTGCCGCGCTGTGCGGGCGGCGTTGTGGTATCTAGCTCAGACGCGCCGCGACGACGAAGCAGTGAAGGCGACGCGAGCTTGACACCTCTTTTGAGAGTTAATAACAGTCATTAAAAAACAACCGCTATTGCTGCGCTGTCCTCTCAACTCTTGCCGTTAACACTCCTCAAAAGCGACTCATATACATGCTAGTCTCCCTTCCTCTTTCCCCGTCTACCTCCCCCGCCCTCCCAACCCTTCCTCCCCGGTCTTCCCCTCTGTTCTCCCCCTCCCCATCCCTGTGCCCCGTTCCCCCTTCCTCCAGGAGACTAGCAGCGGCCTCTTGATTATCTTTGCGCTCCTCCCCTTCCCCCGTTCCCCATTGCCCTCACATGCTTGTCGCATCGCCATCCTCCCATGGTGCGTCCATCCATTCACTCACTCTCCCCTCTTGCCTTCCCCCCTGCGCACTTCCCCCTGCGCACTTCCCCCTGCGTACTTCCCCCTGCGCCCTCTTTTCTGCACCTTCCCCTTGCGCCCTCCTTCCTGTCCTCTCTTCCCTCCTGCCCCTCCAGGCATGCAGCGAGGTCGGCTTCTTCCTGCTGGCCAATCACGGCGTGCCACGTCAGCTCATCGCCGACGCCTTCCACCAGACGAGGCTGCTCTTCGGCCTGCCCCCTGAAGCCAAGGCGGCTGTGCGGCAGGTGGGTGGCTGTGCGGCAGGTGGGTGGCTGTGCGGCAGGTGGGTGGCTGTGCGGCAGGTGGGTGGCTGTGCGGCAGGTGGGTGGCTGTGCGCCAGGTGGGTTGCTGTGCGCCAGGTGGGTTGCTGTGCGCCAGGTGGGTTGCTGTGCGCCAGGTGGGTTGCTGTGCGCCAGGTGGGTTGCTGTGCGCCAGGTGGGGCACATGAGCATGGGCTGATGCAACCTGCCAGGCGGCTGTGCGCCAGGTATTCACAGCATGTTTCCTGGCATGGGCAAAAAGCAGGTGAACTGGGGGGGAAGGAAGGAACAAAGCCATGGGTATGTGGCTGTGTGTGGGCAGCACCGCACCACCCAACCTCCCTTCTCTGCTGTGGTGTGACCTCTCGTTCCATCTTCGTCGCTCCCTTTCACCTCTCATTTCCTCCCAAGGTGACTGTTGAGTCAACTCAAAAGTCATCCTTCCAACTCTCTCTCCCTCCCAATCACTCCTGTTGCCGTCTCCACCCAACTCACTTTCTTCTTTCGCTCTCCCCTCCTCCTCGCTCCTGCCTATCATCACTCGTCGCACCACATCAAACTCTGCACTTTCTCTATCCATTCTCTTCCCGCCCACCTCCCTCTCCCCTCACGCTCTCTCCCCTCAACCCCCCACGCTTCTCGTCTCCGCTCTCGTCACCCCTTCACTCCCTCACCCTCTCCTTTATGTCGTCTCCCCTATGACCTGCCCTCCCCGCACTCCCCTCCTGTCCGTCCCTCCCTGCCATCCTCCCCGTCTCCCGTGTCCCCCTCTCTCCCCACTCTGCCCCATTCCATCCGCGGCTCCCCTTCCCCCCACCTTTCCCCCCCTCCCCACCCCCTTTCCCCCCCCCCTTCCCCACCCCCTTTCCCCCCCCCCCCACCAGGACAGCAACAACCGCGGGTACACGGCGTTCGAGGAGGAGGCATTAGACCCGGCGGTGCAGGGGCAGCGCGGCGACACCAAGGAGGGCTACTACGTGGGGGTGGACATCCCCCCGCACGACCCCCGTGCCCACAAGCCCCTGCACGGCCCCAACGTCTGGCCGCCCGCAGGTGTGTGTGTGTGTGTGGGGCAGCACGTGGGGCAGCACGTGGGGCACTTATGTATTGTCCGGGGAAGTAGTTGGGGGCTGTCTATCGTACCTGCTCGTTCACCTCATCCCACCTCAACATCACCTCACCTCACCTCACCTTACCTCACCTCACCGTTCTCTGCTTTGGATTCACCACCCCCTCTTCCCTCCCACCCCCTCCGCTTCCCCTCCTTCCCGGCCTTTTGCTCCTTTTGTTCATCCTCCTTCCCCCCACCGCTCCTCCCTTGCCCCCCCACACCCCACCAGACCTCCTCCCCGCCTTCCGTCCCACCATCACTGCCTACTTCTCCGCCTGCCTCTCCCTCGCCCGCCGCCTCCTCCCCATCCTCGCACTCGCGCTCGGGCAGCCGCGGGACTTTTTCGATCTGCCCGGAAGATTCGACGACCCAATAGCGCTGCTGCGGCTGCTGCACTACTCGGGGGAGGCGTCTCGGCCGCAGGAGGGCGTGCTGGGCGCGGGCGCGCACACGGACTATGGCATGCTCACCCTGCTGCTCGTGTCACACCCTGGCCTGGAGGTGGGGGGTTGGGTGGGGAATGGGGAGGGGAAGAGAGTGGCGGTTTGGGAAAGTAGGGGAGACGGGGGCAGGGAGGTGGGCCGGACGAGAGGGAAAGCGAGGAGGGGTCATGCCTTCTTTACGTTGTGAACGCAAAGAAAATCGCAGGAGGGCGTGCTGGGCATGGGCGCTCATTGTGATATTTGAGTCGACATAATAATCACGCTCACCCCTTTCATGTGGGGATAGGGCGGCATGGAGTTGGACAGGCATTGCAAGAATGGGGGTAATCTCTTACATTTGACACGCTTCGCTGAATTCAGAACTATCAGCCACCTCTCTCTGCTCCCCACTCCTCCCTGCTGTCCCCATAACTCCAGATCTGTGTGGATCGCAGCAGTGCGGCACAGCAGTGGGTGCGCGTGCCAGTGGTACCAGGCACGTACATTGTGAACATAGGCGACATGCTGGAGCGGTGGAGCAACGCCACATGGCGCTCCACCCTGCACCGCGTGCTCGTGCTGCCCGATGGGGAGGAGGGGGAGGAGGAGGATGGTGGCGGCAGCATCAGTGCTTGTGGGATTGAGGGTCATCCCGCTGGTAGTGCTGCTGCAGGCGGTGGTACTGCTGCTGGCACTGGCGACTCTGGTGGTGGTGGCGGTGGCAGCGAGGTGTTGGCAGCGGGGAGGGTGTCGCTGCCGTTCTTCTTTGAGCCCAACTTCGACTGCCTTGTGGAGTGCGTGCCCTCTCGGGTTGATGCTGCCAACCCTGCACGGTATGGCCATGCACGGGCACAGCACAGCATGGCACGATACGGTACGGATATGGTTCAGTACGGGCACTGACTGATGGGGCTCACCGTAGTGCTGCAGGTATGCTAGTTTGTGCTTCCCTCTTACACACATTGCAATGTGCACGCCATAGGAGACATGCTGGAGCGATGGAGCAATGCCACATGTTCACATGGATCTGCATGCCCTGCCCTCCCCCTCTTTCTTGCCACTGCTCTTCCTCCTCACGCATGTCCCTCCCCCCAATCCTCCCGCCTTCCACTTCTCTCCCTCCTCTCATGCCCCTCTCTATCCTCCCATGCCCCGCACCCCTTTCACTCCTCTCCACCTACCTCTCCCCAACGTCACTCCAGGTTTCCCCCAACCACCAGCGGGCACTACCTGCTATCACGCTATCAGGCCACCCACAAGGACCTTCATGACTCCCTCAAATAACCCCCGCACATCCGTGTGCATACACACAGCATCTTTGCACATATCCCCTTGTCCGTGTATGTGCCATTCTCCCACTCACTCACCATCACTCATGGCATGACCGCCCACCCATTCCACCACTTTCCTCTGCCTGCTTGTGCTGGGGTCTGGTCTGGTCTGGCACACACGCACACACCATGTACAGTTCACTCCATAACGATACAGCATTGGACACTAGTAGTGCAGAGCTTTGCATATCGGTCCAATGCGGTACCTCAAAGCATAGTGCAGTGCAGCGCGTTGGTAAATCTAAAGTGCAGTGACGTGTGTGATACCATCCATGCCGTGTGTGATACCATCCATGCCGTGTGTGATACCATCCATGACGTGTGTGATACCATCCATGCCGTGTGTGATACCATCCATGCCGTGTGTGATACCATCCATGACGTGTGTGATACCATCCATGCTGTGTGTGATACCATCCATGCCGTGTGTGATACCATCCATGCCGTGTGTGATACCATCCATGCCGTGTGTGATACCATCCATGCCGTGTGTGATACCATCCATGACGTGTGTGATACCATCCATGCCGTGTGTGATACCATCCATGCCGTGTGTGATACCATCCATGCCGTGTGTGATACCATCCATGCCGTGTGTGATACCAGCAATGGCGTCCGTTACACCACAATCCACCACAATGTGAACATAGTCACAGGTTTTGCCCGAAGCATGCCTTCTCTCACAGATTGTAAGTTACTAACACATTCAAAAGGTTATGTAGAGTGCGTAAATGCTTGCAATAATTTATACTAAACCTCATTCTATTCCCACATCTTTCCCCCCTGGCTATCCAAATCCTACGACAGTCCCTGCATGCACAAGCCTGAGTCACATCACAGCAGTCAGTCAGGCTGCTCCTACCACAATCCCAGAACAAAATCTGTAACAACACACGAAAACCACAGAGCAGCAGCAAACATGCTCCACCACATCACGAGTCACATCACCCAAACATGCTCCACCACGTGCACACTGAAGTACACATCACACCTGGGGCCACAACCCGCTCACTCCCTTCACTCTCCACCACACGAGCAGCCCGTGGCTCCCAATGGGCTGGCCACAGGCCAACCCGCAGCCATACCCAACCCAGCCCTCAGTGTCGCTGCGACTAGCACACGCACGGTACACAACACATACACATTCGCACTGGAGCAGGCACAGGTCACCGAATGTGCCTGTATCAGGCGCGCAGCCTTTTTCACTAAGTCAGTCTTTCTACACTGGTGATGGCTATACCTATGGGCCATGCCCCCACCCACCCACCAACGCACTCTTAGTAACCTCCCAATCCTCCGCAGCCCCATCATTCCTCAACCTCTCTCCCACCCACCTCTCGTACCATCCCTCTCCTACTCCTCCCCCTTCCTCACTTCACCTTCTTCCCCTCCCGGCTCTCCTCCTCCCCCTCCACCACCTTCGCCTTCCCCTTCACCCGCCGCCGCTCCTCCTCATACTCCTCAGGCGAGTGCAGGGTCCCAAACAGCCAGTCAAACAGCACAGTATAATGCCCGTAGTTGTGCCGGTACGTGGTGTGGTGAATGGTGTGGTACTTGGCGCCCATGATGAAGAGCACGTTGCCGTGTAGGTTGTCGTGGATGTTGGTGGTCCAGATGCCCTCCGCGAAGAGCAGCAGCAGGTGTGTGGTGAAGTGCGTGGGGACGAGGAAGAGGGAGAGCACGTGTGGGAGGGCCTGGATGATGCCGTCTAGCGGATGGAACGCCAGGCCTGGAGTGCGGGGATAGGGGGGTGGGGGGGTGGGGGTGAGACAAGGGAGGGTGGGTTGTTGGGAGGTGATTTTTCAGTCGACTCAATTGAGAATTCATCATGAACAGCACGCCGACTCATAAGCACGAAGTTGAGAACTTTCGAACGAGAAAGGTGAGTTGGGAGGAAGGAGCGTTTTAGTTTGGAAAGGAGCCGGCCCGGTGGACGGCATGGTGTGGATGGCGAGGCGTGGTGTGGGGCGGATGAGAGGAGTGGAGAATCGAGAAGATGCGGCGAGAAGGAGGAGGAAGGTTGGAGATGGGACAAGAGGGAGTGGCGAGGCAAGAGGGAGTGACGAGGCAAGAGGGAGTGATGGGAGGTGGTAGGAAAGGAAGGGGTAGAGGGAAGGGGGACAAGGTTGGGTGCGGACTGGGCATGGGGAGGCATCAGAAAGCATGTGTAACGTGTTTGCGCAGAGCTTGCATGGCGCCAATTCCTGGGTTGACGTTTCAAGAACTAAGTGTTCTCTAGAGTTGTTTGCCTAGGCGAAACGCCATAATGACAGCATGTGAGAGGAAGGAGGAGAGCTAAGGGGAGGGAAAGGGAAGGAGAAGGAGCGGGAAGGGGAGAGAGAGGAGGAAGGGGGGGAGAGGGAAGGCGAGGGAAAGGGAAGGGGAGGGAAAGAGGGGAGGGAAAGAAAAGGGGAGGGAAAGAGGGGAGGGAAAGAAAAGGGGAGGGAAAGAGGGGAGGGAAAGAAAAGGGGAGGGAAAGAGGGGAGGGAAAGAAAAGGGGAGGGAAAGAGGGGAGGGAAAGAAAAGGGGAGGGAAAGAGGGGAGGGAAAGGGAAGGGGAGGGAAAGAGGGGAGGGAAAGAAAAGGGGAGGGAAAGAGGGGAGGGAAAGAAAAGGGGAGGGAAAGAGGGGAGGGAAAGGGAAGGGGAGGGAAAGAGGGGAGGGAAAGGGAAGGGGATGGAAAGAAAAGGGGAGGGAAAGGGAGGGAAAGGGACGAGGAGGGAAAGGGACGAGGAGGGAAAGGGACGAGGAGGGAAAGGGACGAGGAGGGAAGGGGACGAGGAGGGAACGGGACGAGGAGGGAAGGGGACGAGGAGGGATAGGGACGAGGAGGGAAAGGGACGAGGGGGGAAAGGGACGAGGAGGGAAAGGGACGAGGGGGGAAAGGGACGAGGAGGGAAAGGGACGAGGAGGGAAAGGGACGAGGAGGGAAAGGGACGAGGAGGGAAAGGGACGAGGAGGGAAAGAGACGAGGAGGGAAGGGGACGAGGAGGGAACGGGACGAGGAGGGAAAGGGACGAGGAGGGAAAGGGACGAGGAGGGAAAGGGAAGGGGAGGGAGTGGCGGGAATCGGGGTAGGCGGGACACGAGAGGTGATTTAGGGTGGGAACGGATATGGTGAATTGCTATACGGTTGATTTTTCTGATGCTGGCGCACTGTGTGCCCCGTGGTTCATACACGTGGGCCATGTGGGCCACGTGAGCCAGCTGCAATCCACCAGCACTAACTCTTTCTCTTTTCGCAGCCACGTGGAGCGATAGTGCTGTCTGGTCATGGTCTTTGCGTTCGCTTCCGCACTGGCGGCCGCATAACGCGCTGCTCTTTTCTTCCATGTTCCATCATGTTCCATCATGTTCCATCATGTTCCATCATGTTCCATCATGTTCCATCATGTCCCATCATGTTCCATCATGTTCCATCATGTTCCATCATGTCCCATCATGTCCCATCATGTTCCATCATGTTCCATCATGTTCCATGTTCGTGCGCACGTGCGTGAGCAGGCGCGCAAAGACCAAGACCAGGAATTGGTTTCCTCTCTCAAAGGTGCAGATCTGAAACCCGCGTACCCACGCGCGCCTGATCCGCACGATCGCGACTCGATTGGATCTTGATCCGCGCACCGCTGATCGCGGCCCGCCCTGCCGCGCATCCCGCGGGATGCGCGGGAGGCACGGAGCGAGGGCGACGTTCAGGGCGCGCGCGCACTCGCGTCGCGGGAAGAGGGCGGACGAGGGGAGGCGGGGGGCGGCAAGGGGAGAAGAAGGGGGCGCGGGAGAAAGGGCGGAACCCGTGGCAGCTGGTTAGACAGAGGCGTGGCGGGTGGCGTACCTGCGAAGGGCGAGAGCGTGTTCTGCTTGTTGTAGATGTGGTGAATGGCGTGCAGGTGACTTATTCTGAGTCGACTCAAAAGGTCTAAGACGTACCTGCGAAAGGAGAGAGCGTGTTCTGCTTGTTGTAGATGTGGTGGATCGCGTGCAGGTGCGTGTAGAGCGGCTTGATATCGTGCAGCAGGCGGTGCGCCCAGTAGATGCCGAGCTCCACGATCAGCATGTACAGCAGCAGCCCCAGGATGTAGCGCGGCGCGGCCGTCTCGCGGATCTGGCTGTAGCAGCGCGTCCAGCCGGTCTCGACGAGCCGCTCCGAGATGGTCGGCAGGAGCGTGTAGAGCGGCATGGCGCGCATCGACACGCCGATCTGCCGCCACATGGCTTTAAGAGACGGGATGTCGTCGGGGCCCGAGTAGAGGAACCAGCCAAAGAGCGAGTAAACCACGAGGCTCCATAGCCCCGATCCGATGAGATACAGGAGGCAGCCCGCGACGTAGTTGCGCAGCCAGGTTTGCGGGAAGTGCGGGAGCGCGGAGACGAAGGAGGAGGGGAGGAAGGAGAGTACGAGGCGGTTGTAGAAGCTCGTTTCCTGCACGAATAGGTTTAAGTACTCCGGGCTGCCCGGTTCGAGCGTCCTAGCGTCGGGTGTTGGGGGGTAGAGCGACGCGAGAGACCGCGACGCGGTTTTGGCGAGTCGCGCGACCGGATCTAGCGCTGCGAGCAGGGAGGAAGGGATTGGAGTGGAGGAGAATGAAGCGTTGGGTGCGGCGGCGGAAGCGGAAGACGCGGGAGGGGCGGTGGAGGCGGGGGAGTCGCTCGCGGACGAGGCGGAATGGCGGAGATCATGCGGATCCGAAAGCGCGTGGATTGCGGGGATCGTAATCGTGATCGCCAGAAGGAGCGACAGAACGAGCGCGTGGCGCGCGTAGGCCGGGGAGATGGCCCTGGAAGGGGCCATGGTTGCGGGGGAGCGAGGAAGGCCGAGGAAAGATAGAGGCGGACCGAGCTCAGATCAAGACTCAGAACTAGTCGCCCCTAGTCTGCCTTCTGGCTTGTAAATTGTGTAATAGCCAGCGCCTTGAGCTGAGCTCTTGTGAGGATGGCCTAAGTGATTGCAACCTTGGGGAGATCGATGACCCTGTCTGTGATGGTCGCCAACTTAGGGCGTGATACCCTGCTGCACAGCGACCTTCATGTCGTGTTTTGGTGACTCTGCCATTGCTAAGGTTAGTAGGGTTCAAAGATTGCTGGAGGATCGCGAGACCTTGTCGAAATTAAGCTAGGTAAGGATACCATTGGCGACATGCATTATAGTGGGGTTTCGGCAGTTGAACAACCAGCGATTGCAGGTGCTTGCGAAACACGGGAGCTCGTCAACCAATGGATAGGCGGCACCTTGTGAACCGTTTTTGTGAACACATCAGTGCGGTGCATTTCGTGACCCGCAGAGATGCTACTTGTAACTCGTGCAAACGATACACTACAGCAGGAGAGGGGTCTGTGCAACAGGAAACTATCTTCTGCTCAGAATGATCGTAGAGTAGATTTCCCGCCAGTGAATCGAACGGCTCAGAAACGATGCGCGGGCAGGAAGATGTTGGTGGTCGACAGCTCATCAACTGTCGAGACCCCCACGCTGCGCTGCTGACTCGACGACGACGAGAAGCCCAGCTTCGGGTTGCTCGATCTAGCTGGTCGCCGAAGCACCCTGCAGAAGGTCTCCTCGTGGTTTGGAAGAAATGCGCGATTTCATTGGTTCATGGAAAGTGGGGCTGGCCGACGAATGTAGGGGCACCAAAGACCCGTTACAAACAACCCCACAAGGGAGGCAATGGAGATATGAAGTCGCGTGTCAATGCAGTTCATAGTTCCTAACGATCTTGTTTATACATGCAAAATCCTACACAGTACATCGCGGTATAACAGCAAAAGTGATAATCGCGTTTAGAAGGATTACCATTGTTCATTCACCAGTTTTTTTTTTTTCCTCATCAATCTGGTCTAAAACTTCATACCTCCTGGAGACCACCCCAGCAAAAGAGATCCTCATGGTTAGATTAGAAGAGTAACCATTGGTTATTAGCCAACCATTTTCTCCATCTGCAACACCCCGACCGAATGTGCTTCCATTCTCGTCCCTGAATTCGTACGCCTGGCCTACAAACTCCAGTCAATTCGAGTCGACACGCACTGCTTGTGGCCCAGCAGCATGTTACACAATGGATCTGCAAAAACCCACACCACACGAGTGGCATTAACGGTCAAAACTGAGTAACTGTGTGAGAGGTGGTAAAAAGGAGGCATGCGGTGGAGACATGAGATGAGGTAGCAAGAGCAGGAGCGAAAAGGGCCAAGGAAGAGGGGGGGAGGGAAGGGGTAGAGGACTGAGGAAGGGAGGCAGGAAAGGACGGATAAGTAGAAATAGAACAGCACAATGCACACGCGGAGTCGTGTCCGTCACTTGCCTTGCCTCGCATACCTCAAATCGAAGCAACCCTCCCCGCCTGATTCTAACGCCCCATAGAGCGGTTGGGCGGGTCCTTTTGTCTGGGAGTGGGGGCAAACTTCATGCTGCCAGCCATGAGTGAGCCCTCGTCCCGGTTGCCCTCATACGCCACTCTCAGCCGCGGCCGTGCACCCGCCACCGCTGCTGCTGCTGCTCCCCCTGCCCCTCCGCCTGCTGCCGCTGCTGCTGTCCCTGCTGCTGCTGACCCTGCACTTGCCCCATGAAGCCTCTCCCCATGCCCATGCCTCTCCCCATGCCCATGCCTCTCCCCATGCCCATGCCTCTCCCCATGCCCATGCCTCTCCCCATGCCCATGCCTCTCCCCATGCCCATGCCTCTCCCCATGCCCATGCCTCTCCCCATGCCCATGCCTCTCCCCATGCCCATGCCTCTCCCCATGCCCATGCCTCTCCCCATGCCCATGACCCACAGCATGCCCATGCACATTCCCATGCCCATGCACATGCCCGTGCCCATGTGCCTGGGTGTGATGCACATGCGGTTGCTGTTGATGATGGTGCCCTGCCCCATTCAACCCCGCTGCTCCTCCTATTCCTGTGCTGGACCCTCCACCAGTAACCCCACCGCCTGCACCACCCCCACCGCCACCAACCCCAGCAGCAGCAGCAGCAGCAGCAGCAGCAGCAGCAACCGCTTCCACATCTCGCCCCTCAGCCTCGTCCTCCTTCACTCCCTCCATCCCCCTCACACCTCTCCCTCCTGCTGTTCTCCCTTGCTGTTTTCCCCCCCTTCCTCCCCCTCCTCCTCCCGCGCCGCCTCCACCACCCGTTTCACCTCCTTCTTCCCCCACTCTCACCCCACTGCTTCCTCCTCCTCCCCCTTCCGCCCTCCCCCCCCCTCCCCCTGCGCCACCCGCGCTCACACTCCCGCCCCTATCAGTAAACTTGGCTCCAAAGGGCGGGGCGAAGGCAGGCACACCCGGGGAAGGCGCCACCCCAAAGGACGGGCCCGGGGACTCAGGGATATTCCCACGAGCGGCTGTGGCAGGGAGCATGAGAGGTGTGGGGCCGATCGATAGCTTCGCAATGGTGGATGCTGCAGCAGCGGCGGAGGACGGGGAGGAGCGCACGTTAGCGCCAGAAGGGGAGGCAGCAGCTGCGCCAGGGGGTGGCTGGGCGGCGGCGGAGGGGGAGCCAAACGCGGCTGGCGCATGGGGGATGGTCGCAGGGGGGAAGGCGGGGCCTGAGGAGGAGGGCGCAGCGACGTCACCACTCCCCCCCATGGCCAGGGTACTGCTGTTATCACTGGAGGTGGTGGTGGTGGTGGTGCCGCTGATGCTGCTGCTGGGGTCTTCCACCCCAGAAGCCATGAGGAACTGTGTGGGACGGAGAAGTGGTGCCGGGAGGAAGGAAGGCCCTGTGGGGAGAGTGGTGGAGACCTACAGCAACTCAAACTCGGCTAGCTGCCAACAGCAACTACCAGTTTCAGCACATGTCCGTGAGAAGTAGCAAGTGCCAGGTGGAAGCGATTGTGCGGAGAGTGAGGTGCGCGGGAGCTGGGAAAGACTGCGAGATTGGTGCAGAGGACGCGGGGTGCCGGTGTTGCTGGGGCGTGGCGGGAGCAGGGCACACGGGAAAGGAAGGGGGGTGGCAGGAATGATTGCGGAGGATGAGAAGTAAGAGGCGCACACTGGTACATACGGTGACACAGAGGACGCTGTGGGGAGGAGAGGCGGAAGGAGGAAGGGGGACGTGGGGGGCGTGGGGGAAGCGGGGGGAGTGGGGGGAGTGGGGGAAGTGGGGGGAGTGGGGGAAGTGGGGGAAGTGGGGGAAGTGGGGGAGGGGAGATTATTTTCATCACGACTGGCACTTCAGGAGAGCCTTGCCTGACTGACTGGCAGCAGCCGGCACGAGATGAGCACAGACGCACAAGCGACGCTTCACCTCTTGTCGCACTCGTTTCATTTAAAGCCCGTCGTACGCGTTTTTTTCGTGTGTCGCGCTTAATGCGAGATTATGAAACCCGGAAAAAAAAAAAAAAAAAAGGTCACTGGAATGGAACGAATTTTGCTCGCGGATGGTAGTGCAAGGGCATAAAAATACGCCTAAAATGTCCTATTTTCACGGCTGAATCAAGAGTAACTCTCGATTCGAGTCTGAACCCGACGCTGTGAGCATGGCTTCTGAGCCACGTGGATGCACAAGCCATGTCACCTCGACGCTGTCGCAGCAGGGAGAACAGCGGCGTCGATCCGGATGCGCGCGGAGAGTAATGATGTGCACGGGAGGGATAAAAAAAATCGCAGAATCCTAGAATCGCCGAATTGCAGAATTGCATACTAGCTGAATGGCAGAATCTCGAGGTCCGGTCGTCGCATGTGGGGGGCGGGGCTCGATCGATCTCGTCACCACGACGCAGCAAATGACGCCTTCTACAGGTTCTGACCGCGAATGCGCTAACGCGATCTACGCGACGAGACGAGACCCGTTCCGCAGAATGACAAGCGCGATACCACCGCCGTTGCTCCCACCCACCTAACAGCTCCTCTATCCCCAACAAGTCTCCGCGCAACTTGTATGGCAGCACGCGGGGAACGAACCTCTTGAGCATGCGATGTGTTGTGGAAGCACAGATGGTCCATTTTAGTCGATGCAACAGCCGAGTCAGGGGAATGCCGGGAATTCAGTGAATGGAGTAAAACAAGCGCATTCACCAGCTGATTTGTTTCCTCCTCATACGCGGTGCGAGTGACTGTCGAGTAAGAGGACACAGTTAAAAAAAAAAAGGAAGGAAGCTGCGCGGGGAAAGGGCACGCTGATGTCATACCTGTGAAGGTGAGATGGATTGAACGGCTGCGATCTGCCCGTTATAAGAGAACCCTAATCTGCACTGGAGCCTGCAAGCTCGTCGCGTCGCGTTCGCCACGTATAGCGCCGAATAGCACCGCGCTTGCAGCGCTCCTCTTTTAACTCGAAAGAAATGAAAACCTCGAAATTCCAACCTTGAGGTTTTCTGGCCAGAAGACACGGAGGGGGGTATGCACTTGGGAAACCAGTGCGTGGAATGTGCTCCGCCGAACTACGGAAGGAAGGCTCGTGTTTTGTGAGCAGAGGATGGAATGAGATGAGACGGTCAGTAAACAAGTGCTGCTGCAGTGAGACTATTAGCTGGTGTGGTGTGGGACTGGGGCGGGGCAGGGCAGGTGAGAGGTGAGGTGAGGTGAAAGACTGCCTGGCTGCTGCTGCTGCTGGAGCGGTCCACGTGATGGTGGGGAGTCGAGGCAGGAAGACCGTAGGAAGGGTGGGATGGAGTACGGTGAGTTTTGAAGACTTTCGTAACGCTTCGGAGTGTTACCACCAGCTTCAGAATTTCGGTTCGTTCGTCAGATGAATTCTCTGGTTTGCAATGCCGTACACTGAGGATGTACACAACAAAATGCTTGCTAATACGAAAAAACAAACATGACAAGAACACTTGGACCCATGTGGGCCAAACTAGCACTAACATCAGGGTTGGCTCAAGCCCACATGTGCCCCATGTGGGCTCCAAGAACCAACCCAAAGCTAATCACACATGCTCCCCCAGCTCCTAGAATGATGCTAGCATGCTCATTGCTCAACGCCACAACAAAAGATCTCCACCAATCTCACCATCCCAGCGTGACCCACAGCCTCCTCAGTGCTTCAAAACTCCCTCTTTGCCCGTTAAGCTTGATGATTCATCCCGATCTAAACAACAATGTCACATTCAATCAGTCGAGGCCAAAGGAGATCTCGACCATGCCATCTCCAGCATCGCACATGGGCCCACTCCACTCAAAGAGGTCGCTCGCAGCTGCAACCACAGCAGCGCGCGCACCATCCCTGCACCCCTCCGACCTGCCACTCTGCTTTGGCACAGCAGCAGCAGCAGCAGCAACAGCAGCAGTGGCTTCTCTACATGTGCCAGCATCATAACTGCGACTTCTGGACCAAGACGAAGCACGACCAAAACCGTTGCCATTGCCACTACCGCTGCCACTGGCACTTCTACTGGAAGAGGAGGACCTTTTGGCCTTGAACGAGCTGCTGCTGTGCTGCTTCTTGTGCTTGCGACTCTTGCTCTTCTTCCTTCCCATCTCACTGCTTCCCTCTGCCTTCCTGCTCCTCTCAAACCTGCTGCGATACCCACTGCCATGGTCCTCCCCCTCCCTCGCCCTGCTGTGCCCCTCCGGCTGCGCAGTAAACTCAGCAACCCTCTCACTACCACCAACACCACCGCCACCACCAGCAGCACCAGAACCACCACCGGCACCACCAACACCAGCACCAGCACCAGCAGCGCCAGCAGCATCAGCAGCAGCCTCAAGAGCGCAGGGGTCGTGCAGCAGAAGCACGCTGTCAATCTCAGCCATGAAGTTGAACGACATGCCCTCACAGTCCAACCCCTCCAGCAGCTCCAACTCCCCCCCCATTAAATCCTCCTCCTCCTCCTCCCCACCGTCCCCCCCGCCCACCTCCACACCCATCCCCAGCGACGCACCAGCGGCACCAGAAGCGTTTACCACGCCTTGCCGCGTGTCTGCATGGTGCTTCCCTTGGGATTCCTCCCCCTTCTCGTCAGCATCATCCAGTGCCATGGTCTCCTGCTCAAACTCCAGAGTCAGGTCGAAATCAGCATCATCCAGCACAAACCCCCTCTCCAACTCATCGCCCAGAAGCTCCAAATCCATCCCCTCTCCCCCTTCCTCTCCCCCTTCCTCTCCCCCTTCCTCTCCCCCTTCCCCTCCCTCCTCCTCCTCTCCCACATACCCCTCCCTGTCCGCCTGCTGCTCCTCGTCCTCCCGACTCGACTCATCCAGGTCATTGAGATCGTCATCAAGTTGTGCCATGCCAGCCATGCCAGCCATGGCATCGAGGTGCTCCAAGTCCATGTGGTGCAGGTCGAATGCGTCCAGGCACAGGTCCCCGTGCAGCAGCAGCAGGCCCTCGTCGCTGTCGTCGTCGCCGCCACCACCACCGCTACCAAAGAGCGCGCAGGAGATGTCATCGAGATCCTGCACACACGCAGACGCCGCCACGCCCACACCACCACCACCGCCGGCACCAGCACCAGCAGCACCAGCGCCAGCAACGGCGGCAGCAGTAGCCGCAGCTGCACCGGTAGCAGCAGGAGCGGTGTCAGCAGCAAGAGCAGAGGGGAGCAGCAGCAAGGCATCATCAGACACGCCCGACGCTGCCACGCTCTCAAACGACCCACACCCACGCCGCTCCACCTCCTCCTCACCGCCTGCCCCACCCGCACCTCCCTCTGCCTCTCCCTCTGCCTCTCCTGCTGCCTCTCCTGCTGCCTCTGAGCGCGACCCAGCAACGCCACCTGCAGTGGCTGCTGCTGCTGCTGACGCCTTAGGTGTCTTGTGCTCTCGAGGAAGCACCTTGGCACCTGCTTCAGCCACTTCCGCTGCTGCTGCTGCTGCTGCTGCCGCCGCTGCCTCTGCTGCTTCTGCTGGTGCAGGAGGTGCAGGGATGCTGTCTCCAGCCACCCATCTGCGAGTGGGAGCAGCTGCGGACTCACGCCCGCCTGCCCCCGCACCTGCTCCCACACGCTTTGCCACGGATCCTGGTCCACACCGGCGCTTAAAGGGTCTGCATCTGGCGCACGTGGCATCATCAGCGCGAGTGCCAGCGACCGCTTCTGATCCTACAATGCCTGCTGCTGCTGCTGCTGCTGCCGTTTTGCCTGTGGTGGAACGAGTCGTGCGGGCAGCAGCACCGGTGATGACAGGACATGTAACAGAAACACCGGCCAGCGCCGCTTTTCCAGCTGAGACACCAGCACCAGCAACAGCAGCAGGAGCAGCAGCAGCAGCAGCAGGGGAAGGAGGGGGAAGAAGAGAAGTGGGAGCAGCGGTAGCAGCAGCAGGAGCAGGTGCGAAAGAAGGAGCAGCAGTTCCACCGCTGCACACACCACTGCTGCTGCTGCTGTTGCCGCCCCCGTCACTCCCCCCCGCACCACCACTACCGGCACCACTGGCACCACCATCAGCATCCCCACCTCCACCATCACCACCACCACCACCACCACCACCACCACCACCACCACCACCACCACCACCACCACCACCACCACTCCCGCCACTCCCATCCTCTCCCACACCCCCGCCCTCTTCCCCAAGCGGGGCGAAATTGGTCTTGGCACGAGGCCCGCGGATGGCACGTGCAGCAGCGTCGTAGGCGCGGGCAGCGGCGTCAGCAGAGTCGTACGTGCCCAGCCACACGCGCACCCCGCGCGTGTGATCGCGGATCTCCGCCGCCCACTTGCCCCACGGCCGCTGCCGCACCCCACGGTAACCGCACGTTGTAACAGTTGTCGCTGCTGTCGTTGCTGCCGCGAGAGTGCCGGCCTCCCCTCCTACTGCTGCTTCTGGTCCTGCTGTTGCTGCTGCTTCAGCACGTGGTGAGACCGCACGCATAACTGCAGATGGTGGTGATTGCACCCGCGCCCCTGCTGCTGTTGCTGCTGTTGCTGTTGCTGCTGTCGGCGGGTGCAAGAGAGCTTCTCCTGCTGAGGTTCTTTCTCCAATGCCTGCCGCTGCCGTTGCAACTCCTGACACGGGCCCTGGCGCACTCGAAGCAGCAGAAGCATCAGCAGGGGCAGGAGCAGGAGTGAACGAGCGAGGAAACGGCTCTTTGTTGCTTGTCCACTGCATCGCACTCAAGTGCTCCTCGTCTTTCCATCCTGCTGCACCTGCTGCCACGCCTGCTGCCAGTCCTCCAGGCAGCACCATCGCATGATTATCCACTCCTGCCCTTCCCATCACTTCCGCCTTCCTCGCCTGCTGCTCCTCTCCACGCCACTCCGTGCCCCACACTTCCCCGCCTTGCGCCACTGCCTGCTGCTGCTGCGCCATCACCACTGCGCTGCGCTGCTGCTGCAGCGGCGGCTGCTGCTGCTGCGCGCCCAACTGATGCGCGCCGAGCTGCTGCGCGAACCTCCCATGCGCCAGCCCGCTCATCGGCGCGCCCACGGCGCCGTCCAAAGCACCGCCCTCCGCATGCAAGTTACCGCACGCGCGGCTGCCGTTCACAGGGTAGCAGCACGCGGGCAGCGGCGGCGGAAGCGGCGGAGGCGCGGGAGGCGGAAGGGGCATGGGCGCGCCCGCGCCCCCCTGCCAGCGCCTGCACGCCCAGTCGTAGCACCCCGCCACTCCGCACGGCGGCATCCCCGCGGGCGGCGGCGCGGACGCGGCGGAAAAAGGAGGGTAGGGATAGTAGGGGAAGGCGGCGGGTAGATCGCCCCCCATGTGCGGAGCGGGCTGCGCATATAGCTCGCGGGGCGAGCAGCGCGCGGAGGTCGCGGAAGCGGGGGCACAGCACGCCGGCGCAGCGAATAGCGCACCGTCGCGCGATGCGGACACAGCAGGTGGAGGCGCGCGGGAGGGCGAGGCGGGAGTGACTGGCGCAACGGGCGGAAAAGGCTGCATGTGCATTGGCGGCACATGCGCGGACGGAGGCGCTGCGCGCGCGGGCGCAAGGTGTCCTTCGCGAGAGGAGAATTGAGGCGCGAATCGCTCGTCGCCCGGTCGCCATGCGCGGTAGGGATAGTAGTACACAGCGCCAGGACCCCCGCCCATTGCGCCCGTTCCGCCTATTGCGCCCGTTCCGCCCATTGCGCCCGTTCCGCCCGTTGCGCCTATTGCGGACATGGCGCCGATCGCGCCCATTGCGCCCATGGGTAATGGCGCAGAAGCATAAGCGCCCGTGCTGTGCCCAGTCGCAGCCCCTGCTGCTTCCGCTGCCGCGCCCGAAGCAGACCACCAATTCGCCCGCGATCGCCTCGCCCACGATCCCGCCGCCGCCGCCGCCGCCTTTCCAGATTGAGAATAACCGTTAGCATCGACGCTGACGCCGCTGCGGGCGGCGGCGGTGGCGCCGGCAGCAGCGGCGCTGCGGGCACTGGGAAACGGAGCGGAGAGGAAGCGATAGGTCCACGTGTTCGAATCCGCGTTATAGTCAAACTCCTGCTCGTCGTCCGACGAATCCGTCGCGTCGGGGTCCGTATTCACGACGAGCGCGCGCCCCCCGCGCACGCTCACGCGCGGCACTCCCCCAACCCCCGCCGTCGCTGGCGGGGCCGGCTGCGGCGGCTCCCCCCGTCCGCGCTTATTGCCGTTAGATAGGCTTGCTCTGCTGCTGACGATGCTCGAGTCCTGCGGCGAAGGATGATCCGACGCAGACTGATCGTGTCGCCGACCGTGCGACTGCTGCTGCGGCTGATTGTGCGACCGCTGTTGCGACTGATGTTCAAGGGGGTGAGTGACAAGGGCGTCTTGAACGTTCGCATCGCCTGAACCGTCCAAATCGGCCGTATCGTTCTCAAACTTCTGCTGCTGCTCCTTGTGCTCCTTCTGATCTTGCTGCTGCTCTTGCAGCGAGTCACTGTTGCTCAACTCGCGTCTGGGCGCGTTAACTTGATCGCGTCGAAGCCCTGCGGCTGCAGATCCGTCGCAATTGACCGATCGTTGCTGTCCCTTCTCCGCCTCCTGCTCCTCTTGCCGCCGCCTAAACTGTTGCTGCTGCCGATCCTGCTGCTGCCGATCCTGCTGCTGCCGACCCTGCTGATGACCATCCGGCCCGCGCCGATCCTGCCCCTGCCGATCCGGCTGCTGCGGATCCTGCTGCCGACGCTCCCCGTGTTGCTGCTGCCGTTGCTGGAAACAACTCGGAAGATCGTCGCGGTCCTGAACGTTAACCTTACGCGCATGCATTGCCACCGGCAATTGCGGCGACTCAGCCTCCTGGGCAGTAGCTCGCAGCGCATGTGCTTCGTGCCTGTCCGTCTCACCCGTTTCAACCATATTTACGTTACCGTCAACGGTACAATTACCGCCCCCACTCCGCGTTACACTTGCCGGATCCGCTTGGCGCGTGCAGTCTGCCGCTGAGTCGTACGTGCAGGGCTCCGATTGGTTGCCGATCAGGCACTTTCGGTCGCCGTCTGCGAGATCTACACCGTCCGATGCTGCATTTTGTCGGAGGAACGAGCTCGCGACGGCTGAACTCGGGAGCTGACTCGGAACCATAGAAGACGAAATCGGCGACATGCTGAGAGCCTCGCTATCGCCAGAACGAGTAGCGGCAGCAGCAGCAACAACAGCAGCAGCGGGAGAGGGAACGGGAGCAGACGAGAAGGATGATCGAGGCGAGGAGTAAGTAAGGGAGCTTCGCGGCGACTTTAACGGCTTATTCTCGACCGGAATCGGCAGCTGTTTCGGACTCGGGTCCACTGGTGCCGCCGCCGCCGCGTCCGTTATTGCGCCTGCGAAGCGCCGAGAAAGACAGGCCTTGGCGGGAGGGATTGAGGGAACGCCCGCGGAGAAACTCGAGTTGAGATCGGAATGCAAATGCGCCAAAAGATCGGGCGCTCTTCGTTGCACGAGTTGAGGTCCTGGCATCCTTTATGCTAAGGGCGAACGGATCACTTCCTGCTGCCGAAAGCTTCGCTCGAGCGAACGGGATCCGCAATCGGCGTTTCGAGGCGCGAGGAGCTGCGATCAGCGAGTTAGATTAAAGGGCCTCCGAATGAGGGCCCTACGAAATCGGAGGGGAAAAAAAAAGGAGGAAACCCCTCCGGTGAATAAAGAGTGGCGAATGCCACTAGAGATAAGCAGCTCTAATCCCAGCCACTCCAGAGATTACCATGACGGCAAAATCCGTGGCTGTGTAGCTGGGACGAGAGCCGAAAAGGACGCCACTGGGTTATGCAGTGAGTTTATGAACCCCGGAGGACAGTCGGGTTGCTTGCAGCATGGGGCACCTCGAGCCTCGACCCTCGCAACTCGATGAGTAGGAGCGAGCGGAAAGTGGCGGAGAGGGGGGGGGACGGGCAGGACGAGAACAAGAAAGAGGCGACAGGGAGGGAGAATTGGGTGGGACCTTGCTGCTCCCGTTTCTCCTCCCACTCTCCCATCTCACTAAGCGCTACTTTCTGCTTGTTTGCATGCACTGTACAACACTGTTTTTTTTTAGGTCCTCCAGTTGCCCAACGCAACGCGCCGAGCCAAGACATTGCCATTGGCTCATATCGATCACTTTGTCCCCACACCACACCTGCCCCACATTGCGGCGGCATGGTATGAGGCGGCTGCGCTGCTTTGCTGCAGGATTTGTTTCCAGGCTGCCCTAGATGCTGGAAAAAGGGACGAGATTTTAAGGCACGCCGAACCTCGAACACCATGGCCCATGCCATGCTGGCACACTAGCTTTGGGAAGGAGCTATGATGTGGAGAATATAAATAGAGAGTACATCTAGATTTGCCTTTATATGGTCCAACATATAGTTTCACGTACAAGTACCGGAACCAACACCGCGTTTCGGAAAAACTGGCCGAACCCACTGGATGCAGCTTCTTAGTACAGAAAAAAAAACACACAAAAAACACAAAAAAACAAACAAAAGTTTCAAACAAAATAGCCCAGTGCTGCCCGGAATGTCGTCCGACAGGCATCAGACAAATTTGTGTCAGAATCCCAGTCACTAACCACTGGGATAAAAAGGCTTGTTAAGTAGCGGGTCAGTGCGCCCATAACCCCCCAGGACAACGAGCCTGTAACCCTTCCCTAGGATCAATCGGGGATCTCCAGTGGACCTCTGACACCCCCCCGCACTGGGATGCCCGAAGTGCACACACTGGGATTCGAACCCGAGACCGCTCTGATACCATGTCAGAATCCCAGCCACTAACCACTGGGATAAAAAGGCTTGTTAAGTAGCGGGTCAGTGCGCCCATAACCCCCCAGGTGAACGAGCATGTAACCCTTCCCTATGATCAATCGGGGATCTCCAGTGGACCTCTGACAATTTGGTGACCGTGTCAGGTAAGGACGTAGGCCCAATCGAATTTGATCGCCTCGATCATACTCGATTAAGAACTTCCAGGAAGCCTGGAGGCCAATTTCAGGCAATCGGGGGCAATCAACTGATCGCGATCAACTGATCGCTCCAACTCAATCAGACCCAATTTTCAGCCCGATCAGAGCCGATTTTCCTCGATCACAGGCGACCACCTGATTGCTTGTGATCGGGGCCCCCAGCGATGCTTGCGAGTTGTTACACTGTTGCCTTTACATGGAAACGAAGATTTTCGCCAGGTGACTTCTGGTCGCCAATCTCGCTAGAATGGGGACGAAAATGCCAGGTAGATGTATCCCGCTTGCTGAGCAGGCGCTGACAACCTTCTTCGAAAAACATGACTGATCGGGCGGCTCGCAGGCCTCTGGTTAACAGGGTGAATCACCCTTATGACACTGACTATAAGGCTGGTTTTCATAATGCACCCTTTTTTTTTCAGAATGGTTCATTTCAGGACCCTTCCAAAAAAAAGATGTTTGGTTCTAGGACACTGATATTTCAGAGTTACGAGATGTAGACACACTGACGAAACCGAGTTCGCTCTAACAGAGATGTTACATTTTCCTGCGTAAAACACAATAACACGGCATCCCACAACAGAGATCACCTACATCGAGTATCGAACCTGCATCCTTAGCATCAAATTTACACCGCAAATCACACAAACACCATACAATGTAAGTGTAGCAGATATAACGTTTTCTAGCCTATTTCTGCACCCTGCTAGGAAAGAGTGTTTTTGCCACGTACCCTTTCAGAAAGAGTGAAGACGGAGCATTGGCCTTACGAGAAAGAGAGGCTCAAATCCTAACCAGAGGCCTGGCGGCTCGGGCACTGCGATCACAAGCAACCCGATCTGATCCAACCCGATCAGATCAGTCGCGATCAAACTCGATTGGGCCCACGTCCTAAGTATCCTGCCAAGTTTGGTGGTTCCAGCTTCTAAAAGCCAACTGGCCACGTGGACTTTAGTGGGAGGAGGCTCGGTCCAAAGCTGGCTCTTTGGTACACCAAATCTCACCATACCAAAAAGAAGCGGTTAGGAAATTTTGCGAACCCAGGCTTCAGGGCTAAAAAGTTATGTCTAACAAATGTTTGTGTAACACGTGAATTTGGCACAGCTATGAAGAGTCTAACTCGAGTGCACAAAGCTCGCAAATGTTGAGGGTTTTACATTTCGGAAAAAAAACAAATTCATGACGAATAGAATCAGAGGGGTGAGAGATCAAGGGCTCACAAACCTAATTTGGGCTGATAAATGTTGGAAACAATTGACTTAAGCGCCTCTGTCGTGTCGAAACACTAAGTCATAAGCGAAGCAGAACATATCGAAGCATCGGCGAGTCAACCCTCGGAGGTTGAGCAACTGCTGGAGGTTACGCGAAAGTCAAAGGTCAGCGACCTTTGACCCGACAAATACAGTGCGACAGCAAGGACAAACAACTGACTCGTTATTGAACAGTTGCCCGAGTCGTCACTGTATCGAACCGCAACAGCAACAGCAAAAAACAGTTATTAGTTATAACCCTTCATATTCCCTTGTACTCTTATAAAAGCTTGTATCCCTTTGTTTTAATTAATGTACTTTGCCCTCACATACCAGCGCAAGGTGGTTCACAAACTCCTCATTAATTAAACGCTTCCGCTATTATGTCAGAATCCCAACCACTAGACCATTGGGATAAAAGGGCTTGTTAAGTAGCGGGTCAGTGCGCTCATAACCCCCGAGGCGAACGCGCCTGTAACCCTCTCCAAGATCAATCGGGCATCCACAGTGCAGATCTACTGACACCCCCCCACACTGGGAGGCCC